AAAGTAACGTTTCTGTATCCCTAAGTTACGATTACATGGTGGCCCTAAGTAACGTTTCTGTGGCCCTAAGTAACGATTCTGTGGCCCTAAGGTAACGTTTCTTGTGTCCCTAAGTAACGATTTCTGTGTCCCTAAAGTAAAGTTTCTGTGGCCCTAAGTAACGTTCTGTGTCCCTAGAGTAACGTTTCTGTGTCCCTAAGTAATCGTTTCTGTTCCCTAACTAACGTTTCTATGTCCCTAAGTAACGTTTCTGTGTCCCTATAACTCTCTCCCCTGAATACAGCCAGGTCTGCCTCTGTTGAATGACTGGAGGCAAATGGAGAATTCTAAATGCGGGGGGCCGCCATTTATAGCTCTGACCATTACACAGTGCTGGCTGGCTGGCTGCTGATTGGCTAATGCGATCACACATGTCATTGAAATGGAATCATTATGGGTCAGCGCGCCTTGGTCTGCGCGCCTTCCCAGACTCCCCGCTCCGTCGCCGCACATGTCGCCGCCATTTTAGGAAAAATTTCGATTCGCGCATCAAAATTTTTCTAATATTCGAAGCGAATTCCACTTCGCCTACTTCGATTCGCTCATCTCTAGTAGAGACATCTATTCTGTTATACAAAGTGCTCTCTAATTCTAAACAAATTAATAACTTTTTGTTAAAGCACTTGTTTTCCTCAACTCTGCTGCATAACATTGTCTCTCTTGTCTCTCTTGTTTAGCATAAACATTGTTTGGGCTTAAGAACATCAATTTGCACATGTGGGACACAGATTTTTGGTTCAATCTTTTTTTAATTGTTATTTTTAACAAAAGATAACAGCAAATTACATCAACACAGGGGCTAAAACATGATAAAGTGTGTGAACATTTAGGGTGAAATGAGCACGGATATATATGAATTTCTGGTGCCCTTGAAAGATATCATTCAAAACCTTTCACTAGAAAAGCTGGTGAACAGTCCAAATTGCCATATAGACTGGTGGGTCCAGAAAGAAAAAAATGAAGATACATAAAAAAGAAGTGGGAAGGATAAAATTTTAATAAGAAATTGTAGAGGAATGGAAATAGTAAATAATTAAAAGCATAGGACAAAGACAAGGTAGGGAAGTGTAGACAACAGGAAAGATGGGTGCGGAAAGGAGATACAATAAGATGTATCCCCCACAGACTCAGGCTGGAGAGTGAACTATAAATTACTCTGGCTAGAAGGGCTCAAGAATAGTAGGGTATATATGAGCCATGGATCCCTTATTTTGAGAAATGTATGCTGTGAATCATTAAAAATGCTAGACAATTTTCAATTAACCAATGTCAGATTCATACAATCTTTGACTTTCTGAAAAAGGACTGAAGGTTTTTTTCCAGACCAAAACGCAGTCGGCTTCAGACAGGACCACCAAATGTCAAATGTCTAGCACAACATTGTGATGACCACATCCTCTAAAATACCTATCACTGTTATTCAGATTGGCTTGAGCTATTTTAGCTGGAACACATTATCACCAAAAGAAAACCTTGTAAGCAGCTTATAAGATGTATTAAAGGAACCTTTCTCTATTTTGGACCAGATTTCTCCTCCAGTTCCAGAGCACAGTGAAGTCTTGTTCCAACTTCAAAACATATACAATAGATGAATGAGCCCCACAAACACTTAGCACAAAGTACAAAAGTGATATAAGTCTAGGTGACCCTGGAGATTGTAGATATGTATGTTCAAAAGCTGATTTTGTATATGAACATTCAGAATGCTTTTGTAGGGACATGATCCAGTGTTGGAGTTGTAGATAGTGAAAATATTCTGTGTTGGGTGTGTTCCTGCAGAGAAGCCCAGATAGAAAAGGTTGGGAGGATAAGAAGTGATAGATATGGGTGAAACCGTGGGTAGTCCACCAACAGAAGACCTTGACTGGTCCATACCCAGGAAGAAACAGCGGATTGTTGAGGATTGCAAATAGAGGTAAAAAAGGAGACTTTACCCTATTTGAATATCAGGCTGAGTCCCAAAGTTTTAAGATATGCATTATCAAGGGGCTTAATGAAGACAGATAGGCTTTATGTGGGAGCCAAAGTAAAGCTGTGATGGAATAAAATCACAATTCAGCAATTCCTGGAACACCCATGAGGGGACATCCGAGGTGGTGTGTAATAACCTGTGAACTTTTTGCGGCTTTATAATATCTTTCTATGTTGTTACGGGCTCTAAGCTTCCCTGTAATAAAAAAAAGGACCCTTAATCATTTATAGCACCCAAAAAAGGAGAGAAGCCTATTCTGTATTAAGTGTAAACAAAATGTTAAGATGCTAATCAGTGAAGAACAGAGAGTATACAGCTTCGGGAAGGATGGTAATTTTTATTGTGTTAACTTGGCCTATACAAGACTGGAACAGGAATTTCCAGGAATGCAAAAGTGACCTTTCCTGATTGATAAAATGTGATCAGAGTTTGTCAGGTATTCATAATTAATCAATCAAATATTGTAATCAAATGTGCATACATTTTTTGCCATCAATCAGTTGATTGATACGTGTATGGCCACCTTTAGTGTGGTTAACAGAGTGGAATGTGTTGCAGTGCCATTCATTTTGACTGACAACCCAATGTGCCTACACAATGCACTACAGTAAACTTGTGTTTGTACTGCACTACAGTGCACAGAAGTGAACTTTTTGTGTTTTGTGATAAGCTCCATTAAAAATGATGCTTCATTCCTGCTTTTGTGCATTGTGGACCTTTGGTAGTTCATTCAAAATGACTATGGTGCTCAATGCAACTTTAGTTTAACATGCATCTGTTGCGGTATGCACTGGTGTGAAAGGGCCCATAGACCAGGAATTTACAATGTTATATGCAGCACAAATGTAATTAAGAATAACATTGTTGCCATAGCCTAAAGTTTTAACAAATTATTATATGTTTTGCATTCTACTTTTATAATACATTCTTAAACTACTACCTATCGTCTTGTCAAGTCTGCCACAGCCTATTTGCCTTCAGACTTCTGAAGTATAGGGAGTTGACAATGTAAAAGGGAAAATGAAGGGCAGACTGGAAGAAACAGAAAGATTACTGTCCTGGTGTATTTTATTATTATTATACAGGATTTATATAGCGCCAGCAGTTTGCTCAGCGCTTACAATATGAAGGGAGACAATACAGCAACAATACAGTTCAATCCAAGAGGGTTAGGAGGGCCCTGATCCTTGGAGCTTACAATCTAAGAGGTGTATGCTGAGGGAAAGCAGAGAAAATCACTTCTGAGCTAACCAGCTAGATCACGATTAAGACAGAGGTCATGGAGGTACCAGGGTCCTGCTCCTGCATATGCACACCAACTGGGAAGGCAGTTTTGCAACAGCAAGTCGGCATCAATTTTTCTTAGTAAATCAGCAATAAACACATATACACAGGGAAAGGCTATAGGTCTACTCTGAGTACACCTAAAGTAAAATAAAATCGTGCATATAAAATTGTGGCATTTTGTAATCCAGCCAAGTAATAATTTGATGTACCTCCAGATAGATGTAAATTCTATATTCCAACATACTTTATATTGCCAAAAGTATTGGGACACCCCTCCAAATTATTGTATTCAGGTGCTCCAATCACTTTCATGGCCACAGGTGTATAAAATCAAGCACCTACAGTAGGTATGCAGACTGCTTCTACAAACATTTGTTAACCTCCCTGGCGGTATGATTATTTCAGATTTTTGGTGCTGAAAGCGGTACCATTATTTTGCATGGAAATATGTAGTTTTTTTATTGTAGGCTGTAATATTTAGGAATAACTCACTGAAATCTGTCCGAACAAGAGTCTATTAAACATCCCGGGTATGATAAAATTTGAAACACAAAATCATAAATTATAATTTAATAAATAATCATAAAAAATAATAATATAATAATATTACATTTAATTCAATAATATAATCAAACCAAAAACAGTGAAATTTGAAATACAGCGCCAAGTTCGCACATCGCTGAGCAAAGTCGCAAAATTGTTTTCAGTGTCTGATGACGAATTTCTCCACGAATCATTATCACTCAATTCTGCAAGTGGTTCTGATTTACTATCGCTGTTCTCTAGCTGGTCGAAAACCGCTTTTGACGTAAAGGGACGCTTTTTGGACGCCATGGACTTTTCTAAGTTTCCAGGCAGAAAGAACATTCAAAATGCAGACAGGGGACAGGACAGAGCACTAGGGACAAAATGTATGTGAAATGGGTTGAAACAGCAATGTTTTACAATGTAAAATCGTTTTGAAAAAAAATGACATTTTTTTTAAAATTTTCAAATTTCCCGCCGCCCGTATGTCCCGATGTCACAAGGACCGGAACACAGGAGCCGGATGCCGGCATCAGCCGGAGGAGATGGCCGGGGATGCTGCAGGGGACACATCGCAGGAGCGAAGGACAAGGTAAGTGCTGCAGGGACTCCCTATGCAGTGCCGTATGGTAAGCCCGAATGTAGCTTGGGGTTACCGCTTTTGGTACAGACATTTTACCCCGAGCTACACTCGGGAATACCGTTAGGGAGGTTAAAGAATGGGTCGCTCAGTGAACTCAGTGAATTCAAGCTTGGTACCGTGATAGGTTGCTACCTGTGCAATAAGTCCATCCGTGAAATTTCCTTGCTGCTAAATATTCCACGGTCAACTGTTAGTGGTATTATAACAAAGTGGAAGCAACTGGAAACAACAGCAACTCAGCCATGAAGTGGTAGGCCACATAATATGACAGAGTGGGGTTAGCGCATGCTGATACGCACAGTGCGCAGAAGTCACCAACTGTCTGCAGAGTCGATAGCTAAAGACCTCCAAACTTTGTGTGGCCTTCATATTAGCACAACAACAGTGCATAGAGAGCTTCATGGAATGGGTTTCCATAGCCTAGCAGCTGTATTCAAGCCTTACATCACCAAGTGCAATGCAAAGCGCCGGATGCAGTGATGTAAAGCACACAGCCACTGGACTCTAGAGCAGTGGAGACATGTTCTCTGGAGTGAAAAATCATGCTTCTCTCTAAAAATTTGATGGATGTGTCTGGGTTTCGCAGTTGTCAGGAGAACGGTACTTGTCTGACTGCATTGTGCAAAGTGTAAAGTTTGGTTGAGGGGGGATTATGGTGAGGCGTTGTTTTTCAGGGGTTGGGCTTGGCCCCTTCAAGTGAAGGGAACTCTTAAGGCATCAGCATACCAAGATGTTTTGGGCAATTTCATGCTCCCAATGTTGTGGGAACAGTTTGGGGATGGCCCCTTTCTGTTTCAACATGACTGTGCACCAGTGCACAAAGCAAGGTCCATAAAGACATGGATGAGTGAATTTGGGGTGGAGGAACTTGACTGACCTCAATCCGATAAAACACCTTTGGGATGAATTAGAGTGGAGACTGCGAGCCAGGCCTTCTCATCTGACATCAGTGCCTGAACTCACAAATGCGCTTCAGGAAGAATGGTCAAACCTTCCCATAGACACACTCCTAAACCTTATGGACAGTGTTCCCAGAAAAGTTGAGACTGTTATTGCTGCAAAGGGTGGGCCAACTCAATATTGAACCCTACGGACCAAGACTGGGATGCCATTAAAGTTCATGTGCATGTAAAGGCAGAACTTTTGGCAATATAGTGTAGCTCAGGAAAAATGATTATAAAACTGAATGAGATATAGAAAATAATCTAACCTTGCTAGAAATATATACAAAATAGGTGCCATATAATGATCACCTTGTGGCTAAACCATACTCAAGAGAAAATCAATTATTAGCTTAGTTTCTCCTAGAGTTCACAGAAGAAATAAAAGGAACAAACTCATATGGCAAAATGTACTAGATGAGATTAGATTACTGTTGTTGCTATGGCAGCATACTCATGTCTTTATATTTCCCCATCTTCAAAGCAAGACAGATCCCCTCCACAAAACTGTATATTATAGTCCATACCATTAAGAGTCTTTTTCTGTTCTTAGAAGCATATAGACACTTTGATTATTTTTCTTACTTATAAATGATTATTGGCAGGTCAGTATAAAATAACGACAAACTACCCTTAGGTATTTTGCAATTCACTATATCTATAAATGACTCTGGGGTGTCTAGGAGCAATACTGATTTCATGAAAAAGAAAAGAATGGTTCACTGGGAAAGGAAATGTGCTTCTTGGACTTACTGGTGCCATTTATCTTTGCTAAGCATTAGCGAGACACAACTATAGTCACTCCATGCTTCAAAAAAGCCACATCACTCAGCAAATACACAAAGAAAGAAAAATAGTGGATGGTGTAGCAATTGTACAAACAGAGATGGTACGTGGTCATCCATCTTGCTAAGGATCCTCCATCTTGTATCTCTCCCACTGCAATTCCCCCCCCTCCCTCTCTGTTGAGTGACACGTGGTCCCTGTGCTCTAGGGTTCAGAAGTGCACAGGCAATCAGGCACAGCAGGACAGCTCATGGTTATAAATCCCAAATTAGCTGGTGCCCGGGTGTCTGTTAGCTTCTCAATCTGAGAGAATCGTAAAACCATAAACCAGTCCTTCACTGGGCTTCAAAGACATTCCAGCTAGCTGTAAAATAGACTCACATTTAAAAACCCACTTTTCCATATACTTTTATATCTAGAGCTGGGAAATAATTACATAAAAACCAAGCATATATTCGATTAGCTCAGTTTAAGCCAAGTCATCTGATATCTTACACCCCCTAGTTGAAATTTACAGGAGAGCAGAAAAACGATATCTCCTTAACCGTCCCAAGCAGGTATGTCATATTTAATATCTAGATATTCAGCAGATGATTCTGCCTATTAATATACTAGTGGCTATGCTGCTACATGCACCTAGGGTAGGTTATTGATCATGATCTAAACTCGGAGGGATTTTTGTTCTAGCTTGGGTCTCTGCCTAAACACCCCTCCCCAAATGAGGTGATTGGTTCTCTGCTTTAAGGAGGCACCCTGCTGAGTTCCTAGAAAAAGGCTGTTATGCTGGGAGCAGTTGAGCTGAAGTTGAAGAAATCTCCCTTTTAACATTGGAACCAACTTGGAAGATAACACCCTTTTGCTCTGAAACTTGATCTGCTTAACCCAAGACTTTTGGCAAGTACTCTATCTCTCTAAAACTTCTTTCTGTTATCTCTTTGCTGTGTTATTGCTCTCTGTATTTATATATATATATATGATGCATCTTTTTCTGTAAATATTGTTATTGCACCCTTTTGACCTTTTTAGTAATAATAATGGAAACTAAGAATCCCTGTCTCTGAAGAGCGCTATTGTGTGTTTTTAAAACCTCTATATATCTCTGCCTGCGGTGACAGTGGTATACAGACGATTGTTCAAACATCATAGTGTTATTATTGCTAATACTGGCGAGTTTCCTCCTACTCTGTACAAAAAGGAGGTAGTGGCAGTGTGAAGGGTAATTGCGTAATTAACCTGACCCAGTAATAATCGCTCTCAAGCTGCAGGTACATCGATTGTGGTCCATTAGCTGGAAAATCTTTGTACAGGGTGCAGCTGAGCATGGCATTGTTACGCATGTGACAACGCGGTTTTAGATTGGCTAGTCCTTCGGTCACAAGTTGGTGAGAATGGCTGGGGGTCTGACGCCGCATCTGTCACAGATGGGAATATTTAGACTACATGGAACTATCCACACAACATGATAAAATAATTAAATTTTATTACATAGAAATCATAAAAACATGGATAAAAAATCATTATACATTACACATTAAAAAAAATCCCATAAACAATTATCAAAATCATCTATCCACATGGAGAAAACAAAAGAAACCCTGCTTGTGTAACCATCTTCTAGGTCTATAGAATAGACAAATTTTGCAAAAAAAAAAAAAAAAAATAACCACAGTGATCGAAATAATATACATAATTACCATATAACAAATGTGATGGTATCCCAGAGACAAATAGCCCTTAACTTACAAAAATCAGAACAATGAGAATAGCAGTCTCCGTGGATCCAATCATCACAATGGGCCAAAGAGTGAATCTGAATATATAAAAGGACGCCAAAAGATGCTACATTTGGCTAAATTTGAAAAAGAAAAAAAAAATTAAAAAGCAAAGGACAAACAGTGCAGTTTCACCATAACCTATACCATATGTACAGTTTACATGGGTGTATAGTTTAGCAATGGCACTTACAAATCATAAGATAATCACTACAGGGTGTCCGTGTTTGTCTACAAAACAATTCCATAAAGAAATAATGTTGACTCCAAACATTCCCAGCTATCACTGAACTTAAGACTAGCCAGAAGAAAACAACTTACAAATTCAACGTGTATGTGAATGCAGTACCTATATATACAGTATATCTTATCTATATCACAAATTCCATTTGGGCAAGACCCAAATAAAGCTCTAATCATTCACAGTCCAGTTCAACAGAGATGACCCAAAAGAAGTTGGTCAAATCAGGACTGCAATAAATTTTATATACATATATTTTCTTTTTTTAAATTTAACATTTTATATACATTTTATATAAAATTTTATATTTTATATACCGTATTTTCCGGCGTATAAGACGACTGGGCGTATAAGACGACCCCCTACTTTTCCTGTTAAAATATAGGGTTTGAGCTATACTCGCCGTATAAGACTACCCCTCTTCCAACACACACCAAATAATAAAAAAACATCAGATTTAATTTCAATATGGTATGGTATTTCAGTATGGTATTCCAATGATGGGGTGCTATTCCTCCCACTGACACCAATGATGAGGCACTACTCCTCCCACTGACACCAATGATGGGGCACTATTTCATCCACTGACACCAATGATGGGGCACTATTCCTTCCACTGATACCAATGATGGGACACTATTCCTCCCATTGACACCAATGATGGTGCCCCATCATTAGTGTCAGTGTGTGAGGAATAGTGCCCCATAATTAGTCAGTGGGAGGAATAGTGCCCCATCATTAGTCAGTGGGAGGAATAGTGCCCCATCATTGGTGTCAGTGGGAAGAATCGTGCCCCATCATTGGTGTCAGTGGGAGGAATAGTGTCCCATCATTAGTGTCAGTGGGAGGAATAGTGTCCCATCATTGGTGTCAGTGGGAGGAATAGTGCTCCATCATTGGTGTCAGTGGGAGGAATAGTGGCCCATCATTGGTATCAGTGGGAGGAATAGCACCCCATCATTGGTATCAGTGGGAGGAATAGCACCCCATCATTGGTGTCAGTGGGAGGAATAGCGCCCCATCATTGGTATCAGTGGCAGGAATTGCACCCCATCATTGGTGTCAGTGGGAGGAATAGCGCCCCATCATTGGTATCAGTGGGGAGAATAGTGCCCCATCGTTTGGTGTCAGTGGGAAGGAAATAGTGCCCCATCGTTGGTGTCAGTGGGGGAGGAATAGTGCCCCATCGTTGGTATCAGTGGGGAGAATAGTGCCCCATCGTTGGTATCAGTGGGAGGAATAGTGCCCCATCATTGGTGTCAGTGGGAGGAATAGTGCCCCATCGTTGGTATCAGTGGGGAGAATAGTGCCCCATCGTTGGTATCAGTGGGAGGAATAGTGCCCCATCATTGGTATCAGTGGGAGGAATAGTGCCCCATCGTTGGTGTCAGTGGGGGAGGAATAGTGCCCCATCATTGGTGTCAGTGGGGAGGAGGAATAGTGCCCCATCATTGGTATCAGTGGGGAGAACAGTGCCTCATCGTTGGTGTCAGTGGGGGAGGAACAGTGCCTCATCGTTGGTGTCAGTGGGGGAGGAATAGTGCCCCATCGTTGGTGTCAGTGGGGAGGAGGAATAGTGCCTCATCGTTGGTGTCAGTGTGGGAGGAACAGTGCCTCATCGTTGGTGTCAGTGGGGGAGGAACAGTGCCTCATCGCTGGTGTCAGTGTGGAGGAGGAATA